CCCCCAGATATCCTTAGAATCTGGCCTGTCAGGACATCATCCAGGGTCTCAAGTTGACCTGGAGGGCGATAACATACCCCCACTGTCAGGTCTCTTTCCCTGTCAAAACCCTTTAGTTTCACCCAGACTTCCTCTACTGAATCCCCATCTGTGCTGCATTCTATCTCACTGCATCCTATCCCTTCCCTGATGTATAAAGCCACGCCCCCCACTCCTCTTTCGCTTTCTGTCCTTTCTAAAAAGGTGATACCCTTCTATGTTAACATTCCAGACTTGCCTTTCATCCCACCAAGTTTCTGTGGTTCCCACCAGATCATACCCTCCTATTTCCAGGAGAGCTTCAAGCTCTTCTTGCTTATTACCCATGCTCCTAGCATTGGTGTACATGTACCTCAACTCCTTCCCACCGCTTCCTTTCCTTGGAGTTCCCAGCCTCCTCCTTCCTCCCATCCTCCCTAATATCTGGCCCCTCTCTGTAGTCCTGTCAGTCCCTGCAGTATCTCTAAAACCCTGCTCCCAGAGCCCTGATCCTCCCCCCCACCCTTGTCCAGTGCAGACACATTCCTGGGGGGCCTGAACCCCCCCCCCGGGCTCAGTTTAAAGTCTTCTGGACGAAGCTCGCTAGAGCATCTCCAAAGGACCTTTTCCCCATCCTCGTGAGGTGTAACCCATCTCTTGCCAGAAGTCCATTGGCAAGAAAACGAGTGCCGTGGTCAAGGAACCCGAAGTGTTCCTTCTGGCACCACACCCTAAGCCAGTCGTTCACCTCGGAGGCCCTCCTGTCCCTTCCTGGCCCAAATCCCTGGACCGGTAAGATTGATGAGAAGGCCACTTGGGCCTTCAGCTCCCTGAGTTTCTTCCCCAAGGCCTCAAAGTCCCTGGTGGTCCCAACCACACCCTGCCTGGCCACATCATTCGTGCCCACATGGATCACCAGGAGCGGCTGGTGACCCCTGGAGCGAACAAGACACTCCACTCTGTCCATCACATGCCAGATGTGTGCGCCTGGCAGGCAGCAAACCTCCCTTGTCTCCAGGTTGGGGCGGCACACCGCTGGCTCAGTGCCCCTCACCAGGGAGTCCCCAACAACAATCACCCACCGCCGTACCTTTCCGGTGCTGGTGGGCGGCCGTGCCCTGGCCCTTGCGTCTCCTGCAGCGGCCCCCTATATGATCCAGTCATATGAGACAAAAGAAAGGTATCAGGTTATGTGTGAATTCATTTAACTCACAGGGCCACTGGATTCACCCTTCTAATCTCTCCCTGCATCCCTTTGCCATGTTGACAGCTCCACAAGCTGCAGAATATGCCTGGAAGCAAAGTAAGTGGATGTCCCTTTCAAGTATCTCCTGAGGGGTAGGTTGGGAGGAAATCTGAAGACTGGATGTTTTCCTAAAGTTTTGCTAGCAGAGAAAAACCCCTTATCTATAATTCCTCACCATAAATAGTAGGATACTGGAACATAGCAAGCTAAGATGAAAATATTCTGCCTCCTACCCCACAATGGCTAGGATTTTAATATCTGGAAATGAAGCGGAGACCATCGCTCGGGCATGTTGTGAGCCGCCCCGAGGCTTCAGCAAGGGGCGGCATAGAAATGTTCTAATAAATAAATAAATAAATAAATGTGGACTGATAGGATGAACTGTGAGGTTGTAGTTGTGGAATGTGGATTGCATTTACCTTCTGGAGAAATGCTATCATATCTTTCTGTATGAGTTTGGGCTATTGCAAATTTAGTATCTCCAGACATCATATATTCATGATAAATAGACAGATACTCAAGCTGCCTGCCAACTCCAAGGACGTCACTAGCTGCAAGTTGTTTTGATGGGCAATTTTGAGAGGGAGTGAAAGAAAGAGAAACAAAGTTTATACCAGGCTTGTGAATCTCAGTCCCTCCATCCACTGGTGAACTCCAAGCCCTAAAGAGCCTGTGGCACTTTCTGCTGCTGAAGGTCCCACACATGGGCTCACCTGTCACTCAATATGTCAGCCATCCATCGCTGGCCTATGTGAATGGCATGTTTTGGGATTCCTGGAGACAGAAAGAGGTTTGGCATGAGCAGAAGGATAGCATCAGTACCAGTGTGCCCACACACCCCAGACTTGTTTCCCAGTAAAGCAGGGAAACTCTTTTGTCATGGAGAAGATCAAGGCAATCTCTGGCCAGAGGCATAAAGGTCTTTCACCTAAGCTCCCTACTCAAGAGGTGTCTCAACACAACAGAGGGGGCTCCCTTCTCAGCCTAGTCACATTGGACTGCATTTCATTTCATATTGGCACAGTTTCAGACAAAATCCCTGTCCCTTCACTCTGCGGAAGAGAGCAGGTTCATTGCCAGTCAAAATCTGCAGATTCTTGGAATCATCTTCTTATTTCTGACCACCATGAAATTCTTGGCAATGATAATGGGGAGACTTTTGCAGTAGTGAAGTTGAGCAGGAAAAGATGGGTATAGAATTCCAACAAAACATTTCACCTACATTGGGTTTAGAATTCTGGTGGAACATTTCAGGGGTTCTGGCAGGACATGTAATCCAATTTAAAGTATGGTGATGAGAGAGAGAGAAAGAAACCCTATCCTCTGTTCTCTGTTCTAAGGTGTCAAGTTCCACCGGGCAGCGGCAAACCGAAAAGCCACCAGCAGCTCAACAAAAAGAAACAACACCAATTAGAAAGAACCAAAACCTTTATTTTCAGGAAAGTGACATCCTGAATTTTTGTTTCATCTGGGGTTTGTACTTTCTGTTTCTTTCAGTCAAATGAGTGCAGACTTCGCTAATAATTCTCATCAGAAGGGCTAGTCCAGGCAAAGCATCCAATGGCATGCATCCTGTTCCTCTTCATGTGTAGCAGTTGAATTTGCATCCAAGTCTCTGTAAACAGGATTGCAAACAGGAGCTAAAATCAGTGGCAGAGTCTTGACACTTACCAACAGATTTCTCTGCTCCCAGGGAACGGACTAGTCCATGAGTACACATCTGGCCTCTTTTTGCTTCAGGCATTCCTACAGATGGTTCAGCTCCCCATCTCTGCTATGCACTTGGATCCTAAAGCTGTTTGTAGACGGACTGGTAGAATTCCTGCTCCATCACTTGCCATTCCAACAATGCCTCCAGATTCCAGCACATGGCACAAATTGCTCTTCTCTTGATAAAAATAGGCATAGCCATGTAGTGAATACAGTCATTTTGGCTGGGGATGTCCTACTTGCCTATGACTCCCATTAGTTCTCCAGTCCTTCTGAGGGATTCTGGTCACAGCAGTTAATATATCCTGTATGAAAGCTTGAGAGAGTTGTGAGAAATTATAGCATTTATAATCTCTGGGTATATTACAGTAACAAGTAAAACATCAACGGGTGGCAGGATATGTCATAATATTCATCCCTATTTCAGGTAGACATTGTCTCTTATGCTAATTGTTCCACTGATAAAACAAGTAAAGAGGCAACTGGGTCTTCTTTCCATGTAGCTCTGTCAAATTTAAACATATTTGATAAATAACATATGGATGATTTTACACAGTATCAATATCTCTTTACAAAATTGTCTTCTGTGGTAAAATGATGGTAGAATAATCCTGGTAGACAGAACCACATTTTTTGTAGTTGTGAGGAACTTGTGGAACATGGTATAATTCTTCATACTGTCCCTGCATAATTGAAACTTGTTGTTTCTCCCCAAAGATGTATGCAAGAATTAGGTCACCATGAGCAAGAAGAATACATAGGATGTTACCTTGCTACTAAATTTGGGTTCAATTTCTTAGGAGTGAGGTGCTAGGACTCTAGTCTGGCTAAGTGTCATACAGTCTATCTGGAAATACTTTTGCCTAATCCCAAAAGTATTACATGGGCTGGTTATTATTATTTAGGTAATGAGGAAGTGGCATTCTGCAGATGCTCAGAGGTACTTTATGATTCTTTCACATGTACCAGGGCTGGCACTGAAAACTGAATTGGGCCAACTTTCTTCAACCTGGTGCCCCCAAGATGCTTTGATTGTCAGCTCCCATTAGCATCAGATGGTATGGCTCTTGACCAGAAAATATCTGGAGAGCACCAGGTTGGGGAGGGGTGGGCTTGATCGTGATGAGTACTAGTTTAGACCAAACCTTGGCTGCATGATTTGAAAACATCAGGCTTATTTTATGTTCTGCGGTGTAACACGGGCCTCCCACTGGCCTGTGGTGGCAGCATAGAGCAGCAATTGCTCTGCTGACGGGCAGCAGGGATTACTGCTCTGCTGCTGCAGTGAATCCTTTTGCCCCCCACAGCAGCACGCAGCATTGACCACGGCCCCTCGCTGCCTGCCATGACAGCATGCCCCTTTGCCCTGCATCATGGCAGGCAGAGCAGGTGGCTGCCACCACCTTGCTAACGGGGGACAGTGACCCCAGCTCTCTTCTCCCTGCCTCTGCTGCAATCCCTCTGGGCTTCTTGCAGAAGCAAGGACAGGGAGGAACTGTGGCACTCCTGTAGCATTCCCTGGGACACCTGCAGAAGGACTTAGGTGAGCTGGGGCAAAGACTCCAACTCTGCCTTTTTATCTCAGGCACATAGTGGACCCCTGAGCAAAGAGTCCACACCACCCAGTTTGTGATGTGGTGCGGATTGCCATGTTGTGTAAACCCACCCATTACAGAGCAAGCCTGGGGTCCTCCATGTTATGTTTGTCTTTAGATTCTACTGCAAGGAGCAGAGTGGGCCAGCCGCATTTGCTGGGGAGACTTGGTGGCATGCTGTTAAGGCGTCATCCTTTCTGTGCTGGCCAAATCTTCTCTGCAAATGGCCTTCTCCTTCAGCCAGTTTCCAAGATGGAGTGAAGGGCTGGTGTGTGGAGGGAATTTGCAGATGGAAAGGGCTCAGCACCTGACTGCTCATTTCATGTTAACCAACAAACACTCTGGGGATGGATACCCTGTTGAGACAGACTATAATTCTGCTCTAATGCAGTACTGTGTTCCTAAACTGACGTAAAGCAGAGTAAATCCAATGAGGCCTGTGATATTTCTGAGCAAATGCAGTTTAAATTATGACTGCAGTGGAATTTCCAGGTGGCATGAACTTAGCCTTTGTCCTATATTAATCATGCATGAAGGCACTGTAATTGCCACATGTTCTTAAATGACAAGAAAGAGATCTCTTATCACTGAAGCTCTTCCCACATTCTAAACAATGATAGGGTTTCTCCCCCCATCCCCCTGTGAGTTCTTTGATGGCAAATGAGAGTTATCTTCTGACTGAAGCAGTTTCCCAACTGAGAACATTGATATGGTTCCCCCCACCCCATGTGAGTTCTTTCATGTCTACTGAGAGTTGTCCTCTAAATGAAGCTCTTTCCACACTCTAAACAATGATATGGTTTCTCCCCTGTGTGTGTTTGTTGATGAGAGATGAGAACTATCTTCCGACTGAAGTTTTTTCCACACTCCAAACAATGAAAGGGTTTCTCCCCTGTGTGAATTCTTTGATGACAAGTGAGATGTTTCTGCTGCCTGAAGTTCTTTCCACACTCCAGGCAATGATAGGGTCTCTCTCCTGTATGAGTTCTTTGAGGCTGAGTGAGAGTTGCCTTCTCACTGAAGCTCTTTCCACATTCCAAGCATTGATATGGTTTCTCCCTTGTGTGAGTTCTTTGACAACATATGAGACATTTCTTCTGACTGAAGCTCTTTCCACAATGCATGCAATGAAATGGTTTCTCCCCAGTGCCATTTCTTTCATGTTGGGTGAGAATCTTGTGAATTAAGCTCTTCCCATACTCCAGAAAATGGTCAGATTTTTTCCTACCTCTGTGAATTCTTTGATGAGAACTAACATGTTTATTCTGACTGAAGCTCTTTCCATGTCCTAAACAATTCAATGTTTTTCCTCTGGGTGACTTCTTTGATGTTCAGTGAGAATTACCTTCTGACTGAAGCTCTTTCCACAGTCCTTGAATTCATATGTTTTCCTCAATGTCTGTATTTTGGAATGAAGTTCAATGTTTAATTCAGAATGGGAATTTTTCCTAGGTCCAGGGCACTTTTCCCCCCTTTTACAGATGTCTTTTTGCAATGGAATATCATGGATGCCATGACCCTGAGAAGCAAAGGAATTATTCCTCCTATGCTGATTTGGTTCAATTTTTCTCCTTTGCTCTGTGCTGTTTTTACATTTGTTTCTTTTCACTGACATCTGATAAGGTTCCCTCTTCTTCTCCACCTTCCACCAGTCACCTACGAGAGAGGCCAGAATCCCACGATTCTCCTCCATGATCTGGCTGTGCTGGGCCCTCTGGCCAGGATCCAGCAGGGCCCACTCCTCCTCCGTGAAGCACACGCCGACCTCCTTGAAAGTCACCAGGGCCTGATCTGGTCCCACTCCATCATGAAGAAGAGACAGTTGGGCACCCATCGCTACTCTTACTCCCTTCCCCCCACAAAGCACATCCATCACCCTCTTGCTCCTTGGTGGAGATCTCTGTCTGACTTCTGATGGTGTTTTCTCTGCTGCAGCAACATCAGATCTCCTTTCTGCTGTTTGACTTGCTACCTGAAACTGCTCCTCCTCCTCATGCTTCTTGTCCTTGGCCTGGCTCAGGAGGAAGCCCTCCTCCAGGGCCACCACCTGGCAACATGTCTCCGCTCCGCATTCCTTCACCCAGTGCCCTTTTCTCTTCTGATGCTGTCTCGCCATTCTCCCTGGCAAAAATGGCACTGACGGCAAGCCTCTATTCCATCTAGATCATTTTGTAAAATCTTCTGTTTCTCTGTGAAACGAAAAATAATCCAGGCGAAAACAGGCAGGAGGATGTAGAAACCAAACCCTCATAACTCAACTTCCATGTACAAACCAAATGTCAGTGTGGCATAGTGGCTGGAGGGTAGTGACCTGGATTCTAGTGACCATGAAGTCAGCAACCCTCAGCCAAGATTGTTGTGAGGATAAAATGGAGGGGAGCAAGAGGAGTAGGAGGTCAGCTGCCATGGGTTCCTTGCAGGAAAAAAGGTAGACTATAACTATAATAAATGTTAATAAGTTCAGCATTAAAAATGCCATCCCTAATACAGGCCCTGTACAGAGCCTGCAAGGCCACACTGTGTCCGTTTGAGCAGCAGGGTAGCCAAGTCTGTACAATTAGAGGAGGCGGCTATTGGCCTTGGGGTCCCAGCCAGCCCGCCCAGCACTTGCTTCATGTGCATTTCAGTTCTTTCCTCTTCTAACTGAGGCACAGGAAAGGGCTTCATTACCCCACTTCCTGTAGCTGAGGAAAAGACCCCTTTTGATGAGGAACCACGTTTTCCAAATTCCATGCACATCGCCAGCAGCAGAGGAAAGGGTTTTGCTCCTCTCCTTCCCTTCAGTGAGAAGGGCAACAAAGGTGCCTTTGCTGGGCCTCAGCTTCTTACCCTTGTGCATGAACCAATGCAATAGCTGAAGGAAATGAGCTGCTGATGGGCATGTTGGAGTGGTGGGGAGGGGTGGCATTACCAAAGCCCCTGTTCCTGGTCACATGAAAGAGAAGGGGGTTAAAGAGTTCCATACCTGTGTCTTGGCTTGCGGGGTGAGCAGGGTGGCAACAGCAGCCTTACACAGCCTGGTGTCCTCCAGTTTTTTGGACTGCAAACCCCATCAGCCCCAGCCAGCATGGACAATGGTCTGGAATGTTGGGAGCTGTATGCCAAAACT